TTTCAAATGTGGCATGTTTAACAGACAAAATCTTACCCGAATGAGGTAAGAGAAAGACGAAAAAACGATGAAAAAAGCAAAAGAAAAAACGAAGAAAATGGGTTCGAATTACTAACGGAAAGCAGAATGACAGCTGAGAAAGATGAAGCAGTATTAAAGAAGATGAGCTAACAGAAACAATATTCCTGAAGACAAGAGAAAGAGGTGGAAGAAACAAATCGGACTCAGAAAGTTCAGGATCCGAAAAACTGTGAGTTGGCTTGAGAGCGAGCGTCAGATAAAGAAAAATAGTATCAAGGATTACATCAAATCACCTCGTTTTGGAAACTGTTGAGCAGAGATGGATGCCTAGAACATGTTTGAAATAAAAGCGAGCTTTTAAAAGCGAGAAGAAGTAGAAAGGGAGGAAATTGTAGATGTGGACTTCACGTTAGACGACAATGAAGCCAGTCCAGAAGTGATTATGATACTTCCCAGCAGAACAGTCGGCCACTTGTCAAAGAAAATTGAGTTCAAACTGTCGGAACTTCTCAGCGCAAAGGGTGTTAAACATCTCCAGACTCTTCATTAAAAGCGTATTGGCCAAACTCATCTCGGATGTCTGGATCGAGAACTAATAAGCTCCTTTACGAATACGCATTCTGATCGAAAACCGTTGAGCTGTTCCGGGACAACTTACGCAGGTAGTACTAAAGAGAATTCACCGCTGATAGCCGGGCCAAGAGGCTATGCTACAAGTTTCAAACTAGTTGTGGTGGCCCCACATGCATAATCCTCGCGGAGGAGTGCATTAACTCCGTGGAGGAGTGCAGAAGCTGCACCAGATACGATATGAAAGCTAAATAATTAATTCCAAAAAACTGCACCAAACCTCTACCACTGCGCAAAACTCCGGGGAAAAATTGCCATCAAACTTTCTTCGCTCCTATGTCGGCACACATGGGATTCCGGTATCTTTTGAAGCTGATGATTTTTCAGGGCTCAAAGGAAAATTGATGAATTGAATTTGCACGGAGCCCAATATCACGCAAATACTTTGTCCTGCCTTAAAATCACGTCGTTAAAGCTATGCCTCAGCACAATCATGCGAGATCTCAGATGAAAAAAGCTAAAAACTCTTCAACGACCACCCTTTGTGGCGCATTTTTCCGATTACCACAAAATGCATTTGAGATCATCTTAAAAAAAAATCATATATAATCGTGCTTGATCAGATATGCAGCACCTTGAAAGATCCGCTCTCACAGCCAGGCAGACTAGGAGAATAATCGAGAGTTTCTGCGATAATTTAAAGATTGTAAATAAGGGAAAGGGCTGTAGATAAATCAGTCAGCTATTCTAAGAGCAAGTATCGTCTGCGCGAGATAGAGAGCGGGCACGAGCGCTGAAAGACTTTCTGGAAGCCGATGCCAGATGAAATGCCGAAAGTCGGGTTGCGGCGGCAAGTGACATCAGACGGATTGTAGACGAAACCAGCTCAAAAAAACCAAACTAACACAAGAACTACTCTGCTCATGGGAGAATGATTTTATCAAAGATAAACCAGAGTTGTTGAACGAACGATCCTACTAAGAGTTTTTTTACGAAAGCATAAAAGCCGAAAAAGTGGGAGAGCGCTCACAAACCCAATGAAGAGAAAAGTCGCCTCAAAAACCCCATTTACTGCAAAGACAGCAACCGATTCTATAAACAAAAACGATATCGCGGTAGCGAAAATTCCACTTCCTGCATTTAAAAAGAGAGCAAAACGAGAAAAACCAAAACCCTTTGGAAGAGCCAAAGGGAAAATATCAAAAGGAGGCCATCAAATCAACATCAGACAGTGATTTGGACGGAGAGACACTGCGACAGCAGCAGTAAAATGAAGAGGAATTGACTACGGAACAATATCAATCATGCTAATCAGTGGTTACGTCAAAGGACACAAAGTCGGGGATTGGCTATTTTTATCCATTAAACGAGAAAAACGCAATGCAGCAGGAGTTCTAACATGGAAGCCGCGAACGAAAAAATAAGTGTTTTTGGAACAAAAAGAGAAAAAAAAACCGCAGCAAGGAGGCTAGAAACATGAAAGCTGCAGGGGAAGCAATGAAAAAAGGAAAATCACCTGAACCAGAGAAAGAAAAACCGAAAAACCATAATGAAACTGTTCGACTCCCAGTTCGACTCCCGGGAAATCGAAAAAAAATCTTAAAAATTTACAAAAATTGATCGGAATACTCCACAGAAAGACACATTTGAAAAACAGGATTTTGTTCTCGAGGAGTACAAAAAAGTTGCAGATTAAGCTTTCACGCGAGGTTCACAAGAAACTGCTGAAAAATTCTGAAACTCGGCTGAGGTGCAAATCGAAATAATACTAGACATTTTTCGACGAATCGATTATAGAAGATGTATCAGGAATTAATGCACGAAGCAGCAGTGGAGGCTTACCGATTGAAATTAGCCACAATTGAAACAAAAACAGACATATCGATAGGGACACAGTTCACGTTGAAAGAGAGCCATTTGTTTAGGAGAAATGCTGGCTACAATTCACTCGACAGCACGCGATCACGAAACTCAGCTTGGAAAAATCCACAAGAGTTTGACTATTAAGAGGAAATTGTTGCCGCAATAAACTAGAAAATTTTAACATTGAAGCGCAACCTATGAAAGCAAACAAAAAGTTTTTACCTAGTGTTGAAAGTTTGCTGCCTCGCTTTACCTTAGCTTAATTATGTTGTTGTGTTTTCATTATTTTGTCAAGACCATTTGCGCACATCGAAAAGAAGACTGTAGTCTAACATTGAAGCGCAACCTTATGAAAGTACTAGAAAAAATTTTACTTAGTGTTGAAAATTTGCTGCCTCGCTTTACCTTAGCTTATTTATATTGTGGTGTTTTTATTATTTTGTCAGGGCCAATTGCGCTGATCGAAAAGAAAATTGTAGTTACAGTCAGTGTTAACCATACAGAGTTATGTAATAGGCCACTAGATCTCAGCCTGCGAATGTCAGAAAACAAAGTTTCTGAGTTAACTTCTTGAAAACTTCTTTCAGTTCTTTCAGTTATCACAGATACTGTAAAAAATTTTTTTGATGTTTGCTTTTAGCTTAAATTACAAAGACAAACCAACACTTAAAAAATTAAAAACATAGAGTCATATTGTCAAAATATTCAATCGATGAAGGTTTGACTTTCAGCTGTCTTTAAAAACAAATAACGTTTTAAAACTTGAACTTCACTTTCAAAAAGTAAAATTTCAGCAGTTGGCTTAACTTATGATAAAATTGTCAACTAAAAAAACACACAAAGGTAACTTGTGTTTGAAATTTTGTCGTTTGAATGGAAAAAATGATTTTGTCAGAGCCAAACAACATAGATTTGCACATTTCGGATTTTTAACAATTATAGCGACTATAACTCATAATCGTTTCTTTTTTTGAAGTTTCGAACTGCGCTAAATGTTTTGTTGAATTTTGAAAAAATCATTTCTTCCGTTCAAACAACTAAATTTTGAACTTATTGTAGAAAAAAATATATTTTCCAACTCATTGATTAACATCTGATAAGTCCAAAGTGTATTTTAGATTTAGAAACTTGGTGTTTTAACAACTGAATCGTTTGTAGACAAAAAAATGAAGAAAAGAAACAACTTCATTTAAAAAATGAAGTTTGAAGCTTCACTGTAGCTTGATGCAGGAGATTAAATAAATTGGTTATTAAACAAAAAAAGCACACCGAACGTACCGGTAATCAAATTATAATTCCCGGGTTGATCTCCCATCACCGAAAATGCTTATCATACAATTCCACACATCAAGTGTATGGAAAAATGCTTGTCAAACATTTTTTCGTACAATTGCAAAAATGTTGAAAAAAGATATAAACAAATTTCTGCGGCTGTTTGATTCTAATCAAACAGCCTGGTGATGAAAAAACCGATGTTTTTGTTTTTTGAAAAAAATACTTGCATACAATTTCCATATATGGAAATTGTATGACTAGCATTGTTTTGATGGCGACACAAAAATATTGCCAAGTAATTTTGAAATTGCCCAAATTTTTTTTTTTCGTTTTTTTTTCAACCGCAAATCGAATTTTGTACTCAAATTTTTTTTTGCATGCAGAATTTAATTTTTGTGTTCATAACGTAGTCCTGGATACACTTATGTTGAATTTTCTCCTTTTCGCTCAATAACTTTTTTAAAAACTCCCATTATTTTTTTATGGCATGTTTATGTATGCCTTGATCATTGTTTGATAATTTAAAAATTCATATTTTAAAGTAATCTTGTTGAAAAGTTTTGCCAAAGTTTAAAGTTAGTTATTTTCGTTATATCATTTGAGAAAGACAGCTCGTTTTTAAATGCAAGACCATCCAATTTTTGGGGCCTTGAGTAAAATAAGGCCTTTGTTGCTTGCGAACCTAACCCAAATTTTTTCAGAAATTACATTCAGAAAATAAAATCAACTTTTGGAAAAATACTTGTCATACAATTTGCATATTTGGAAAAATGTGTATCATAGAGATTTCATACAGCTGTCTGTACGTATGGAATTATGTAGATCTGTATGACACAAATTGTCTCATATATGGAAATTGTATGATAAGAAGTTTTGGTCCACCCGCGTTGATTCTTGATTGTCGCGGGAATTGAAAAAAACTCCTTCAAAAAGTTATCAGTTAAGAGTGAAAGTTTGACGCATTAACAAATGAGAAACCAATTTTGCAATTTTTGTTAAATTTGGCGGAAGTGTTTCACAAAAAAAAATGTTTTTCTGCTTGTGTTCAACCAAAAAAGACTGGCATCATTTTTTGTTAACCAGAAGAACCAGACGAAGCAGAAGAAAAAACCCGTTAGGTAGTTATGATTTGGAACTCTGAAGCCCCACCCCATACGCCGCTGAGTGAGATGCTATAAATTGGTAGAAGTAGTTAAATTGCTTTTCCGGCCTATAGTATTTCTACCTGAAAAAATTATTTTCTTCTCAGAAATATTTGTTTAAAAGCTCACCTGTCGCAATGAACGTCAGAAAGAGGACAAACACAACCGGCCTTGCAAATCTCATCACTTTGGTCGTTATTTTATTCGCTTTGCTAATCAGCACCATCCCAATGGCAACTGGTATTACGATTAGAATTAGTGTTCGGGCTAGTTTGAGGTAGGGGATTGTTTCGGGTGAGAAGTTAGGGTCGTTTGAAGCGTAGCGACCGTACGCCCACAGGTTGAGAGGCATTGCACCTGAAACATGGATTACGATATTTGTAGTTTGTTTTGGATTTTAATCTCTGGAAAATAATTTAAGATAGGAGGGGTTGAATGTTTAGAAATATTCTGTGTTTTTGAAATATTCAAGTTAGTTGAGGTACTAAAAATTTCATTAGATACAGAAAAGGAAGAATTTTGTTCAGTATCTGAAAACTTAATTGGTATATAATTTATCCGTATTTTCTGTCAGGCGCGGATTAGGTCGAATAAATTGATTTTCAGTGCTCTCCCAAATCATAAAGACCCTAGACCAAAAAATTGTTATTAAGCACTTTTTGGATAATTTCGACCAAAAAATCGCGTTTTTTTCGGCGCGCTCTTTCCTCAAAATTAGTATGTATTGGCGCCAAAGGCGCCTTTAGAACAATATAAGGCCAGTCATCCGAAAATTGATAACTCAAAATAGTACAAAGGGGAGATCCTTTGGGTCGGCAGGTGGTCGAATCCCTGAGAGAAACGGCGTCCCCCCCCCCCTTCGCCACCCCCAAACTCGCTACTGTTTTCTGTATTTTATCCAGTTAAGTTAGAAAAAAAACCGATATCCACACTGAATTTGATCTATCAAATAACTAACCCAAAATCAAAAAACCCGGGCCGAGATGCTCGACTTATGACCGAAATGGTCGAACCATTTTCGGTTTTCGATCCGCCCTTAAAACATTCATACAAAGTCATCATAATAAATTTAATCATTTGACCAAAATAATCGAACGATGTCCAGTTTTAGACCCATCCTTAGACGGTTGACTAAAATCTTCATAATAAAATTTAAAGTACCTATAGCAATAGCAGTACTGAAGAACGTCATTGCAATGGATAGAGGCACTTCGCCCCCTACCAAATAAGAGGCAGTGTTGCTGTTGCCCCCTCCTGGGGCACATGCCACCATCAACAGACCCAGGGCTACATCTGGCTCATAAGCGAACACACGGGCTATGACCAGGCCAAACTGAAACAAAAATAGATATGATTTTTAAAAAGTCAGGAGTATAAAAATTGAGGAAGTTCAACAATTTAAGAAAATGAGTGGTTTTAATTTTTAAAAACTCACTTATGATAAGACAAAATTGAAAGAATTACAACCAGGAGTTTAAGAAATTGAAGATTTTTGAAGTTTAAGAAAATGAGCTGTTTTAGTTTTAAGAAGACACGGGCTACGACCAGAACAAACTGAAACAAAAACAATCAGTTTAAAAAATCAAAAAAACTGCGGCGAAGAATTATTCCGGCTACGGATTTATTTCGCGTACCTAGCGCAATTTACTTTACAAGATCTGAAATTCTTTATTTCTTTGATAAGTTGATTCTCAGATCTGAAATTCGTTATTTCAGATCTTGATGAGATTTTAAATTTTCAGATCTGAAATTTGGGTCTGAAATAGAAATTTTCAGATCTCAATTAACCTTGTAAAACAAAATTTCAGGTCTGAAATGAGATATGAAAAAACTTTTGTTTATTTATAATATTTTCATTTTTGATGTTTCTGCAATACACAATTATACTTAGATTAATTTGTGCTAAAACAAAACTTCAAATTATTCCACAAACATTTTTTTCAAATAAAACTTCTTGTTCAACTGTTGTAAAAAATTATCAAAAACTGTTTGAAGACCTATCAAACTTTTGTTCAACTGTTGTAAAAAATTATCAAAAACTGTTTGAAGACCTATCAAACTTTTGATTTTCATGCGCTACTTATGCAAAACATAATTCAGCAGTCTCCGATTAGAGACTCTCTGCTGAGTACTTGCTAGTAGCTATGAAAACAAAAAAAACTAAAATAGCAAAATTTGTATCAGAATCAATGATTTTTGCAGATCAGAAAAAAACAAAAAAATCAAATTTTCAGATCTGAAGTTAGATCTTAAATAATTTTGCAGTTCTAAAACAACCACAAAAAGTAACTTTTAGATCTGAAACTAGATCTGACAAAACCCATTCGTCAAGTATCTAAACGTTATTTTACCATTTCATACCACATTTTAAATCCGAAGCTTAGATCTGAACAAACTATTTCAGATCTGAGTGAGAACTTTTACTAGGTTTGGGTTACGATGTCAAACTCAGGTAAATAAAAGAGAACAAAGTAGTGCTCAGTCGTCTTCAAATTGAAAAGACAGGTGATGTTTATGTTTCGATTGTTTTTAAAATGTTTGATGCGGAATTCAACAGACAAATATCTGGAATCCAGATCACTACGAAATGAGCAGAGCTTGGAGACAAAAATTTTGTACGAAAAAAAGTCCGTAAACATTTTCACGGATTCTAGTTTGAACATGCTCAAGATGATTCCTTTGGTAAAGTTTGTTATATGGTCGAAAAGAAATGTTCCGACGACCGATTGATTTAGTTTTTATATCAAAAAACGCAATTTTCTTTATCCTAGTCAAACACACGGGCTGTAATAATTCAATACTGAGTCAAAAAAAATTAGTTACAAGTTCTGCACCATTCAATTAAATTTCTAAGCGTTAAACGCTATATCAATTTGAGATGACATTAGACAAAAACTGATCACAGTAAAAGCCGCTTAGATATTTACCTAAAATAAAACTAGTTACAGCAAAATTCGGTCATTTATGGCGCATTTTGATTCATCGAACATTACGCCAGCAACAATGGGTCACTAGGTGAGTAAATTATTTTAAAGTGAGCCTCATTTGTTGAGCAAATTTTAAATTTTAAATTAAAAAAAATAAAAATATCTTTTTTTCTCAATGCTATATAGAGAAAACTAACTTTCGTTGAAAGCTAAAAACGCCGATTTTAAAAATTAATTATGTCTATTGTTACGTTTAATTAGCAAAACAATACCCTCCTCAATTTTTCATTCAGTTCGTTCAGTAGTTTACTTAGTAGCTGTCGCAGAATTTTGAATGAATAAAAGGTACTAGAGAGGACCGGTATTTTGTAAATTTGTACGCTCCATTACGAGGCTGAACTTGCATTTTTCTAAAATTTGAATGCATTCCGAAACATGCTAAAAACGGTTTTTTTTGGCAAAATCCACAACATGGCTATTTGTTTTTGATCCTCTTTGATGTTTGGAAGTTTGCAAAAAAATCATTATTTATCGATGATACCTCATGCTACCAAAAACTTTGTCGCCAGTATATTTGATCGTCCAAAAATGGAAATGTTTTTAACGGTCTAGTTTTTGTTTTTGATAAGTATATAGTATAGCAAATTATCTGATAAAAAATTGAAATTTTGCATTTTTGTTTCTCTTAAAGACGAAACAAAACATACTAGTTCCAATTTTTCAACTATCAAATTTGTTGATATAAAAAACGCGTAATTTGATAAAATGAACGCTCGGGTAAAATGAAAATCGGGTGACAATTATCAAGTTGAATTCAATCAAAGTAATTCTCAACATTGATATTTCCTTCTGATTTCAAAATTCATTTGAATTCTTGTTCAGAACAGATATATTATATTGGGCAAAACAAATGGGTCACAATATTTTAGATAAAAATCGAAGCAAGTTTTGTTTCAAACTCTTTTTGTCTAAAATGAACCCAACTTGAGAACAAGGCACTTATATTTACTAGTTTTGTGTTTTTTTGTCCATTGGATTTGAGTAGAATGTTTGCGATCAATTAAACAGTTAAGAAGACCTCTATTTCTTCCCAGATGAAGCATTATTTTCTACCATGTTTTTGTTGGTGATATATAGACTAGCCAAGGTTTGAACCAGCTACCGGCTCCTCCCCCCTCCCCACCTGCGAAATTTTCAATGTTATTTATCGGCTTGCATTGTCCGATTGTAACAAAAATTGGCATGCCGCTCTTTCTTGTTAGTTTTGCGGATTATTTTCAAAAACTCTTCTGGTGAAAAGTTTCCAAAGAGAAAACAAAGTTAATGCTGGATTGTTTTTTTTCATCGCTATTCTAGTCCAAAATATTTTTGATAAAGTTAACAGATAGTCGGAACCATTTGAGTGTTACATAATTTGAGCAATTTTTAAATTTAAATGATAGATGTTGCAAGTTTATGTTAGCATTGTCAAACAGCGGATGTGTAAGACTTTGATTTTCATGAGGTCTAGACGTCGGTTCAAACAGTGCCAATATTTGACTAATTTCATCAAAGAGTAGTGCTTATGAAGTACTGTCTAAGCATCGTCCGTTAAATAAGAGAAACGGACTCTGCTTAGACAGGCTGGATGGCCTTTCATATATCCTCTGCGAATCGCAGAAACCACATCTATTAATTATTATTAAGTTCTGTTTTAAACAGTTATTGATATAAAACTAACGAACTGAAATCTTACTGAGTATAGACCTGATCAACTAAAATCTACTAACGCTAAAGAAAGTTCTAGGGTTCGCTTGATGAGTGACGTTTCTGAATAAAGATATGTTGATTTTGAGCCCTTAATGACAATCTGATTTTTTTTTCTCCTTGATCAACTGGCAAGATATGACGGATAAACAAAATTTATTTTTTTTGGGGGAGGGGGGTATGGGCTCTACGTACGCCTCGCAATCAAATTGGTACAGGATGGGTACAAAAGGTGATCTTCGACAGCAAGTTTGTCATAATCAAAGTCCCAACATCAAATATTTTATGTTTTTACGTGTCAGATTTGTCTTTTCATAAAAAATGAATATATAATCAAGATGATAGGAATTCTCCTAGAAAGCATTCGAGTAAAAAAATTAAATAGCTTTACTTATCTAGCGTTAGTTTGTGTTCGATTTCAAGCCGCGCACCCTTTATTGCACGAAAAAATTATTGCATGAAAAAATTATTGCATGAAATTATTGCCTTTATTGCATAACTTGTTTGTGGCACTTGTGCATGGCTTCAGCTTCAAAACGCAACAACATTTAAAAAATTTAAATTTATGTTTATAATTCAAAAAAGAAAAAAACTTTAGAAAACACATTAGAAAAATATATAATTTATTTGTTTTAGGAATTCGAATCACGGTTGAAAGTGCGTCAATATGATACCTTGCTCGACCTTGAAAATTTTTCTTGAGTTCGAGCGGAAAACCATTTTGTCATGGTTTTGGAACAATGATGGTTTAAAATAACTACACGGCCTATTCACATTGTTGCTCATTTATTTTTGGAACACGTTTTTATTTCACAAAACTAATGTTTTCTAACCGGTGGTAACAAGATGAATTGACAAATCGCAGCTGCAATCAACGGTTTTGGTCTCAGCAAAATGAACCTAATATCCCTTATCGTGACTTCAGTTCCGAACACAACATTCAGCATAAGCACCATTATGGTAACGTAGAAAGGGAATATTTTGTCAACCAACGACTGCCGTCGGATTACGACTATTGGAACTCGGATCTCGTTGTCGTCGGGAGTTGACGGGGGTTCCTGAGAGCATTCCAGCCATTCTTCCCCTTGAAACATTAACAAGACTTAGAAATTCAAATCTAGGAAATAGTCTAGTTTGTACATTGTACAAAAGTCTTTTCCAACAGCAGCTTTCAATTTTGCATAATCTTTATGAGTCAATTTTTCTAGCTCAATTTCATGTTTTACTAGCACTGTTGGATAAACATATTCTTTTTTGCTTTCCTAATAAAGCTTGCAGTTCGTAAGCACGGAGTTGAAACTAATTTTTATATTTGCTGAATTTTTCTTATCTTTCTTTCCTTCACGAAAAAAAAAATGAAAAACCATAAACATTTTTTTAATCTCAACCTATCATCATCTTCTTTTTCTATACCATCAAAAGGCCAAACTGTGCATTTTGTGAATTGTAGGCGAATTCCGCAACAGGCCAATAACAGAGTTGTTGTGGAATCCGCAAAATTGCTATTTTTCATTCATCTTCTTTGCTGTTTTGGGTTAAACGGACAAATAGCTAAAACACTCTAGTGCCTAAAATTGCTCCAAAAACAGGCAAAGTTACGGAATCCGCAACAAAATTTGCTGAATCCGGAACAGTTTGTGGAATCCATAAACAAATACTAGTGTATGTGTTTAGTAAATTTAAGCTGTCGTGAAACCTGCAGCGGTAAGTGGAACCGCAAATTGTAAGCGTAATCGGTAAATTGTAAGCGGAATCCGCATAAATTTGCGGATTCAACTAACATTTGCGGAACTCGCTTACATTTGCGCAATTCGAAAAAACTACCTATATTCGCTAGTTGCAGAATCCCCAAAACAACTAATGTGCCGACAACATTTACATTAGAGGAACTTGTACGCGGAATCCACGGAAGTGTTGCAAGTTAAATTCACTTACAATTTGGACCATTTTGGAACACTTGTCTCTGGAATCCAGGAACATACAGACACAAAATTTTGCGCCTATCCAGCGCACAGTTTGGCCTCGTAATGTAATTTATGACAAATGGTGCTTGATTTTAAGTTAAGCGTGTTAATTTTCGTTTAGCTCATTAAGAAGTAATTGAAAATAGTAGAAGGGTCTTATTGAGGGTAAAAGTTTGGTCTTATAAGTTTTTTATATGATTATAAATTGAGCGAAGAATTGAGATTTATTCCCTTCACTCCGAATTTTAAAAAAAACATGGGGTTTTTAAATGAAATTTTTTACATTATAGTTGCACTCTTTAAGGGCTTACAATTAGCTCTGAATTTGGATTTTAAATTTAAAAACTTTTACGGGTTTTAGAAAACTGTAGACCTGATAATCGGGAGACCTGATTTTTTTTTGTTTCAACAAATGATGTAAATTTGAATCAATTGAAACAAATAAGAATATCACGCCTTCCAATTATCAGGTCTAGAAGATTATCAAGCCTTGAGATGTTTTCAAGCCCCCTAAAGAGACAGAGAGAGAGAGCAGCTATTATTTCAAAACGTTTTAATTCAAAATCCAAATCTAGAGCCATTTTTTTTCAATTGAAACTGTCGGTAAATAACGAGAACATACTATTGTTTTTTTTTCTAGAATCAAGCGGAAGTTTGCTATTAAACATTACATTAATACATCTGAGTTTGAAATTAACTTACCCAGTCGAATACCAGTAACTTTAAACTCAGTTTCATATTGGCTTCCACTATTGGTCGCTCCCTCTTTTTCCAACTTAACAATCCCCTGATAAGTAGTCACACAATTAACGACCCCCGATTGTTCCGAGCTGATTATAACTAATAACGAGTCATCTTCATAAATTGTATCTTGATTATCACTATCTTCGGTTATGTAAGTTAAATTCAAACTAGCTTTGGTTTGAGAAACAAAATCTAACAGTAAGAACGTTATAACTATTGAGATATTTGGAAAATTTTGCTTCATTTTGAAAAATCTATTGCAGAGTTTCTAAGAGTACCTAATGATAGTATGACATTCAGAAATGGAAATAAGTTTGAACCAAATGGTAAAACTAAACCAAATTCCAACTTTTGATGTGTTCAAATATAAAGACTTATTCAACCCATTTTGAGATCTACTTGAGCAAATTTGCTCAAAATAGTTCAGCAAGATAAGTGAATTCAAAAGAAAGTTGGCGAAAGTCACATAAGGGTCAGCGAAGTTGTTCAGTTTGAAAAACCATTTGACCTCATAACACGGTTATACGAAAACAGATATTAAGTTTTTGTTATAAGAAGATCATTACTATTTAAAACTCATTCCTTTATAAAAAAACTGAACGTTAAATTTACATGATGCGAATCCAATTTCTTACTGCTATTGTCTTATTGAAGGCACTCTTTGTTGAAAATGGGTAAAGCTTACAAAAAAAGAAATCATTTTTTTGCCATTTTTACGTTAACTTGTATTTGGTTCCAATCAGTTTACACTCAAATTGACGTTTTAACCAAAAAAGGAAAAACCAAATAAGCAAAATAAAGCAGGAAACGCTATTGTTTTGATGCTAAAACATTTGAAAAAGAAAGGGAAAAATTGAGTATTTTTTACGTTCTAAAACAATTAAAGCAAGATTTTTCCTGGAAGTTAAAAGCGAATGTTCATAATGTGAAGTATAAGGCTATTATTTAAAAGAGAGAGTTTTTTATATGTTGATTTCTACGGTCTGTGAAAATAACCCGCGTGATAAAAAAACAACACATACAATTTCAGGATTTCAACCCCTAACTATTCGAAGGGTGTACCTTACGGTAAAAATTACGACCTTCTTAGCTGTACTACCCTTAATAGATTTTAAAGCACCTATCTCGTCAATGATGTTAAAATTGAATGACCCCCTTCGGTCAAATATGTCAACACTGGTGGGTTGTGGTGTAGCACGAAGCAAAAATCAGAAGTTTTAGTCAAAACCAAAAAATCGGCAGCTTTTCGTGGAAGCACGAGTGCAACCCGCATCGAGTTTGATGAGTAAAATAGAGTATAAAATTTTTTTTCACTGAATTTTAGTCTGCACATTTTATTATCACGACAAATTTAACAGCATTCCTTTTCGCAAGCAATTACTAGCAAAAAATCCTTGAAAAATCCCTTATTAGCAAAAATAATCTTCTTTTTCTCCAATCTTCTATTCCATTTTCTTTCTACACAAAATCCATAAAACTTGACCATTTTGCTAACGCTGCTTTTTGAAACTTATGCAAAAGCCAAAAATTTCAAATCTGTCGGCATAACAATGTGAATGAAACTAAAAAATTTTCGTTCCGTTACACAATTTTTTTCTATTACACTCAGCATTCACCCTTCCCACCATTTCACGTTCATCCCGTCTCCCTTCCACTAAGTTTACCCATCCTTTCTCCATGTTTTCGAAAGGCGGGTATCAAAAGCAGGGATCACACAGGCTGGTTGAAATGAAAACAAACAAATTATCAAAAAAAACGTAAGTCATTATAATACGCGATCTCAATTTTGAAAAAAAAATGAAGTGTAAGACAAAAAGTTACCAAATTGGGGATAAAATGAGAATTTGAGAAAACTTTTGATCAACTTGTTAAAGCTCCAGAGTGTAATTAAGAAGTAAAAAAAGCCTAACAAATTCCAAGGATGTTGCATTAGATCTTATTGATCGTCTTTAAAGTTTTTAGTTGGGATTTAGTACAAAAAAAGTTTTCTGAGTTTTCTCAATATGCTACAGGGAAAGATATGGAAATCGTTATGTCATTCCGACACGGATGTATTTTAGTAATTTTTCTTTTTCTTGTTTTACACGCAAAGTCGTGTATCATAAGTAAACATCAGAGTGGGTTGAGCGACATATCATATTGAACCCCTTTAACTTTTGACTACCAGGCTTGCAATTCATAGGTGAAAAGTGGAAGGTACACTTTAATTCTGATGCTGACTGGCAGCTGTGACGAAAAATTGCGCTTTATCATTCTGAGAACTTTGGTAGTTTTAGTGCATTTGTCAGCTATGTGGTCAATTCAAGATAATTTACTGCTCAGATAAACACAGATATTTTCACATAGGCTCTGAAATAGCATTGTTTTGGGCTGAGTTCATTGAGAAATGTTACGCTTTGTGAAGCTAATCACATGTCAATTAGCGAAGTTTAAAGGCAATTTATTCGAACTAGACCAGCCCGTACCTAGTAGTTGTTGTAATTAAGATCTAAAATAATCTGTTTCAGATCTGAAATAGGTTGTGAAATGTTTAAACAACGCTTGAATACTTTAAGAATGGGTTATTTCAGATCTAATTTCAGATCTTAAATATTTGTTTTTCCTGGTTATTTCAGGTTTCAACAAATTAATGATTCTGACACAATTTTTGCTATTTTTGATATTTTGTATTTGATTTTTCCTGCTAGCTAGTAGCAGGTACTCATCAAAGTCTCAAATGAAAGACTGCCAAGGTATGTTTCCCCAAGCATGAGATAAACATTGGAAACGCATAAATAGAGCTTGAAAAACAAAAACTTTACAGGTCTTCTAACAGTTTTGAAAACTTTTTAAAACAGTTCAACAAAAAAAATTTAGTTAAAAAAAACTGTTCGTGAAATTATTCGGAAGTTTTCACCGCTTGTTTATCTAAACATAACTGTGTTTGGTTTCCTGGTTTGAAAAGAGTTGAGTTTTTACTATTTTTTCAGCCATTTCTTTCTTCCAGATCGTGGGCAGTTCTGAAGTAAGTAACAGGCAGGCAACGAAAGAGACAAATGATTTGGTAATATCAATTTTTACGAGAACAGACTGAGCTGTAAAGGAATTGAAACTATAGAAGTAAGCGTTTCAGGCTGTGCTATCAGAAAAAAAGCATAATCCTTGTAACCTTTACTAAAATTTTGAACTTTTATTTGGATTCTTTATATTAATTAACAAGTTTGCAAAACCGGCGGGAGATGATTCTTCCACGTTTCGGTACTTTGATAACTGGTGCTATGAGACCTGGTTTTCTGAGAGAATCGAAGAATAACAAGTGAGTGCTTCTAGAATCAGCCAGTTCCGATTGATTCAAAAATTCCTGGTCTCTCAATCGTGTGGAAACAATTTCCTCCATTTTCTGAATTTTTAGACCAGTATTTTGGTTTTAGAAAAAAAGGTATTTTTTTTCTCGGAAAACTCAAAATTGAGTTTGGCTCAATCAATCAATGAAACTCATTCTGCAATGATAACATTGATGGTTGAAAAAATATTGGATTGGAAGGATTCCAACAATGAGAGAAGGGCGCTTTGCTGCAATCCTTTGCATAAACTGAAAGTTTGCATTCTTCTTGTTTCAACAGTAGCTCTTTGATAATGATTCTAATGATATCAATTCTGACCGATCTGTTGTCAAAACACAGCTTGTCATCGACGCTGTAAGCGGAAAGTACAATGCGATATTAACAGATGCAACAAAAAAGGATGACTTTTGTATTTGTTATTAAGACATCAGGCGTGTTCATATTTGTGATACAGAAGATAACCAGGTGTGTTAAATTGAATTATTCTAGCAGCTTCAGAAAATCTGTCTTGTTCTCTTTCCAGAAATATAGAGCATGCCAAAAAACAAGTACATTGATGTCTCCAATCAGGAGTTAAAGTGAATAGTTATCTTGCGGGAGCAAAAAAAACTTGAGCTTTCTTCTCTCTGTTGAGTTGCTACGTGTCATGGATTCCAAGAAGAGGGTTGTAGAAAAATACGCCATAACAACTGACCGGGTTCCAAGATCACAAACGCATGAAATTATATCATATCTTCCACAATTACAGTCCACAGTACTGTTTTGACAGCTTCGGAAGATTACGGCGGTAGATAGAATAGTTTTCAAATTTAAGCTCAGCCTCAGCAACCTCGGTGGTTAGACCAGTTTTGGTAAGTGCAAGGAAAATAGAATGATTTGCAGTGGTAGAGGTGGAAAGTCTGAAACGTAGTGGAATACGCGAATAGGCAGCGGACGTTGAACAAAAGGATACCTCAGGATAACATGATGTTCTTGAATTGTTCCGGCAATGCTTTGGTTTGGTTTGATTTACACATTGTGCAAGCAATTGATGCGCAATTGGTTTGATGAAAAGCATTTTGCTTGACTAGATCATAACGTTTGGCCGGTAGTTGTTTCTCCAAGAAAAGTTCTTGGGACGGGTTGTATGTGTTTAAGAACGCAGGTTTGCCGAAGCCTAAAAATAAAAGAGAAACCCAAGTTCAAATTTTGATGATTTTAAATAAAGAATGAGTTGGATCGAATGGCCATCAACATAAATGAACAAGATTGAAAGCTCGTTAGCTGGATTTGCTGTTTGAGGATCCGTTTTTGTGGCATTTTTTATTGTTACAACTCAATACGTTAATTTGTAGCGATCTAATTCATGTATAATTACTCTTCTAATCACGTTAAGTTTGTTCTGTCAGCTTCAATTGCTTGATTGTTCAAATCTTCAAACAGTTTTCATCAGCCCAATAATCATAGCTCAAAAAATTTACCAAAAATATGTTCAAAATCAATTAGTGTCCCCGTAAATTTAGAAACTTCTATTAAAACTAGCCCTTTGCTTATAACAGAAATCATCATTTTGACTAAAAACAACATTTTTCCTACAACAAGTAACAAATATGGCCTAAAGTGACTTTATTTTTGGATACGGAAGAATAATTAGGCCGGTTGATTCCGAGTACTGCCGCGATGGTTTTGGTTCACGTCCCAAGAATCAAGCCATTTATGCTGAATTCTATCATGAGACTGTGCAAAGTTACCTTCCTACTAGCAATGTCAGAGCTTGTAAAAACGAATAGTGAAGGACCTGCAATGTAATTGGGGAAACTAATAAAAAAAATTCAATGAAAAATAAAGAAGCCAGAGTAGGCAATCGTTTTACCAGTGTATCAAGTAGTGGTCGAAAAAGATTAAAATAACCCAAGAAATCAAAAACTTATGGCAAACATATCCTATGGCAAACAGTGTTTTGTTTTTGGCGTACCAAATTCTACAAAAAAAGTTGCGAAAAAGAAAGAAAACAAAAGTAATACTAAAAATTAATTTGTAAGAAAATCGGAACCTAAAAAAATTTTAAAGTCATTCGTTTAAGAAAAAATGCAATGCAAAGCATAACTTTGCAGAAGATGGCAGAAGAATTCTTGTTTATCATATTATCATAATATCGTAATGCCTACCGGAATAAATAACAGTTTTAAATTGAACAAATTACTGCTGTGAGGGTCATTTTTTAAGCATTTCAGGTGTTCATTTGTTGCATAATACACTCTAAGAACATCAAATAAAACTGGAATTACATGAGCACCACCAAACCCAGTGTTACAAAAACCAAACAAGACTGCTCGTATCAGAGCGAAGCCTTGAATGTTCC